TTAGTAAAATACTGAGAAGTTCCGGAAATACTGGTGAAAGTTTTTTCGAAGCTGTTTTGTTAGGATAACTGCTGTTTAATGCCGCAGTACGCGTTCCGAATGTTATCACAAGAATGCTGAGTGGGCAAAAGTCGTGCCCCAGTCGGGAGTCGAACCTGTCCTCACGCTTTCCGGGCGAGTGCGCTATCCGTTACGCCACCAGGGCCGCTTTTACCCTATCAGCTTAACGGCTTATGCCGTAACCTTACAGCACTCACAAGTTTAACTTGGTGAGTCGGTCAGACGTAATCGCTAGATATCGGCATGGAACCACAAGGCCGAAGGCTTTACAAGTTTTTGAAGCTGTTTTGTTACGATAACTGCCGTTCAACGCCGCAGTACGCGTAAAGCCTTCGGCCTTGTGGTTCCATGCCGATATCTAACGATTACGGCTGACCGGCTCACCAAGTTAAACGTGTGAGTGCTGTAAGGTTACGGCATAAGCCGTTAAGCTGAGAGGGTAAAAGCGGCCCTGGTGGCGTAACGGATAGCGCACTCGCCCGGAAAGCGTGAGGTGCGGGTTCGACTCCCGCCTGGGGCACGACTTTTGCCCACTCAGCATTCTTGTGATAACATTCGGAACGCGTACTGCGGCGTTAAACAGCAGTTATCATAACAAAACAGCTTCAATAGCATACAGCCCCCTGCTAAGGCTTCCGATGAACTACTCTGGGAAAAATTGGTGAACAAGCTTTCACAAAACAAGTATTGTTCCCACCTTAAGATCTGGAATATTGAATTTCGAGTTGTTCGAAAGATTCGAGGTAGCACGATTCAGTTTATCCCAAGCATCATTGGGGCCTTTCTCACCGGGTGCCGAGATCAGCCAATATTCACCGGACGAAACCGACATACCTAAATTTTTTTGTTTATTTATTTATTCATCAAGATTGTCACTAACACAACGTCAACTTGTACGACGTCCTCATCACGAGGATGTATAACGGACTCAGCGAATCGTCGTACACACACACAAATCACACACATTTATAGGGAATGATGATAAGGATGTGAACCGAAATGTAGACCAACGTGGCTAAACATAAAAAAAATTGTGAACCTAAGCTATACACATGGAAATTTTAACAACTACTGCATCTCAAAAAAGTTGAATAGTCTAGCTTGAAAAATGGACGATGTGGTTACTCTACGGGGAATAACGATCACAGATAAAGACAAAGCAAAATACAGGATACATGTTTGATATATTTAAATTGACCATCACTTTGGAAGAATCAGAAAGAAATAGAACAACCTTCGCAATCCCAACACGAATACATACTAGACCCTGAATCGGAATGCTATGTACACTTGTTAGGCTTACTGAGGCAGTTTTACAAAGCTGGATACTACTAAATTATAAGTTTAGGAAAACAGACGGTATACAGTATCCCAAACTGCGCGTAAAAGCAAGTGCGTAGGAGCTGCGAGTGCGCACAGTACCACCCATTTTTCGCCCAGGTAGCTGGTGGCTACGGTAGGACAGTGGAATCAGCGTCGCTCTCGCTTCCTGGCATTCCGCGGAGCTTCTCTCACCCAGTCAATGGCGAAACATTCATAAGCCAAGCTGTGCAAAAGATGTATAGCACAGCCTAATAAGCCTGGGTAACCAAACCGGTCTACGGTATGCGCGATTGTATGCGTTCATGGAGCCGAAACATTTGATTTCACGCGCAATTTTGGGAAGTACTACATGCCGCCTGTTTTCCTAAACTTATAACCTTGTCTGGATACTACACTTTGGAACGAGTTTAAGTAATGTGGATTATCAGATCTGAAATATAACGTAGAAATTTATGATGTTCCAAGGATGAGTGCGACAATCATCCCGTAGAGTCCAAGTACTTCAGAGAAAATCAGAATAAGAATCATTCCGACGAATAGACGAGGCTGTTGAGCAGTACCACGTACACCGGCGTCACCGACAATTCCAATGGCATAACCAGCACCAAGACCGCATAAACCACAAGTGAGTCCAGCGGCGAGATGGGCAAAACCTTTGTTGAGATTGTAACCTTCACTTGACGATGTTACTTTGCCCTTCAACACCATAGCCACCACAAGTCCGTAGATACCGATGATACCAGCCATAATAACAGGAATCACAGATTTCATGATGAGCTCCGGTCGCATTACACCCATCGAACAGATACCAACAGCAGATTTGGCGGTACCGTAGGCAGCTCCAAGTACGGTAAAGATCTGTGCCGATGCAGCTCCCATGTAGCCAAAGAATGGCGCGTAGGCCGGACTCTCGGCCGTTTTCAGATCGTACGACATCGCTGCGGCTAAAAATCGGATTTTTATAAAATTTGAAAAAAGTCAATACGAACAATTCACGGGATACCGAAACTGGGCTCAACAATAAGGAAATAACCAAGATCTTAGGCTGCGTTTATACTTTGCGGCAGCGTATCAGCGTCCACCAGCGACTAGGAAAGTAGCGTTATCGATCTAGCGATACCAGCTTCCACCAACGTCCATCAGTGTCAAGAGTGGAGAATGTAGGGGAAGCAGAAGGGTAGCAGACTGCTGCTACAGTATGGGGAAGAGGGGGCAGACAACTGGAATAGGCGTCGTGAAATTGCGGCGTGTGCAACCGCACCGTACAAGTGCGAAAGCACAGAATTACGCAGTCTAATGTACGGCATTGAGCAGCAGTTACGGCATTGAGCAGCAGTACGGTGCGGCTGCACGCGCAGGTCTGCCCTTTCCTAGTTCCCATACTCCACCAACAGTCTGCAACCCACCTATTTCCTCATACTTCTGGACGCTAATTGGTGCATGTTGCCGCAAAGTATGAACGCAATCCCACTGAAACCAGTGGGTATGTCATGAGAGCTATGCACGCAAATGAATCATCTTGAATCGATGGGAGAATGAGTCAGTCGTGTTACAGTGCGCTTAACAACAGGTGATACTAACAAGAGGGCATCTCCTGCCGTTGCGAAAAAAAATTTGCAACGTACGACCCCCTCCCTCTAGATGTTCCTCCTGTGGTACGACTTCCTCCTCATCACCCGTTCTACCTAACATCTTTCTGACTTTTCCCTACTTTTTCGGACCATCGAGCGACGGGAGAGGATTGCAAAGGTATATATCGTACAAAAAAACCAGGAAGTTCACAACTGAAAGCATTTCTCTCGGAAACAAATGAGGACCAATGCAACACCATTTTGTTCGAGCCTACGGGAAGTCTGCGTTGGGAGATATGCTTTTGTAAAAGAAGGGTTTCCACATTTTGTAGTAGTTTACTGACCTTGGGACTCTATTGCACTGTTTCGCCTTAGCGTTTCTTATGATAAGTCCCCGACATTTCGAACGTATTCAAGTGCTCTATAATGCCCCCGCCTGATATCTGTTCCCGACCAATTTGTAAAAGCGAAACCATCCACTAGCCGCTGACTATAGCCACGAAAATATTCGCAGCAGCTTCTTTATCGGTGGAAAAGTCGGCTTTGACGAGTGATGTTTGGGGGGGGGGCATTCACGTATACGGTTGGTCCCCTACCCAAAACAAGTCCGAGACTTAAAACGCAGACGACTAGAATCGCTGAATAACCCTGCAGAGAAGACATAGCCCTTTGGGCTCACTTAACCTAAACCTTGATTTGAGGTCTTAATCTTATAGCAGGGCACGTCTTAAATAGGAATTCTCCGCCAGGGGTTCTATTTAGTCGCTAGAGGCAGGAGCGGCCTTATTTGGCATAAGAATTTTTTGATGTTGTTCCGGTGTCACGCGCGCTATCCTTTGGAAGACTCCCATTGGGTGAGGAGGCGGGTTTAGTTTCTCCTCCCTAGCTGACGCGAACATTACTGTTTTCGATGGATGGACTGAGTAGGTGTTTAGTAGCGAACATCTGCCCCCCCCCCTCTCTCCTCACCCTAAACTCCTTACGGCAGAAACTTCTTTTGTCCCAGCGATGGGACGTGTTTTGTCGCGTAGTAGTGGTTGATGACATAATACATGAAAATATTGGCAATGCCATGTTCACCTAAGGACGAATTCGTTGAATAATTCAAAGTGGAAATTCGTCAAGTTATGGAATTCTGTGATATTCACTATTACAAAAAAGTTCCTGCATTAGAATTTCAACAGTAACAATTCGAAATTGAACTCCTATCAAGTTAAAAGCCTATTCTTTAACTTATGAAGTATGCTAGTGACCTCTACAGTAGGAGTAAAGCGAATACACTTTAACAACTGGCAAGAGCTGGCTGTCCCACCCATCCCCCGAAACAAATAAGTTGGATGACGTGGAGTATCGCTCAGAATGCCACGATGTGGGCACAAGCATGAAGAAGAACAAGTAAACCAGCAGTATGTTGTTCATAAATATTGTGAAACTGTGCATAAAACAGCAAAAAAGCATTGAAACTTTGTCATACAATCAATTGCAGACCAACTAAAGTTCCAAGATCGATTCTCGGTCTCTGGCTAAAAGCCGGCAGTCTCTATTCGCTTCGAGACCAGTTTTCGCGGCCGGCACGCAGCTTTACGTAATTTTGCACACAGGTCAATGGATTCCACGGCACCAACAATTGTGAGTGTTGCGAGCAAAAATATAGAATTGTCTGTGGGATGAGTCACCGTGCTAAAGCAATATAGTTCCGCACTACAACTTTACATGTTTTAACTTTAATTGTTAAAACATGTCATGACGTCACATATCCCCTGGCACGTCAACAACGAAGAGATCGGTTTTCGCAGTAGATAGTCTTTTCACGCTAATTTTTCGTTTTTTTTCTAGTGTTTTCCCAGCCAGGGCCTTCACAAGGGTGTTGTTCGCGCTGAGATAATGGCTTGATGCTAACGCAGTTAGTAGGCCCCTCCCTTTTCCCTTCCTTTAATCAAGGCTTAGGCTTAGTACAATAGAGACTGACCTCTGCGAAACTATCCGTCGACGATTCTGGTTGTCTGCGCTCTGTGCCTAGGCTTTTTGACGAAAAGCCGTTAATATGCGGTCGAGTGATCCCCCTCCTACTGCCTACATTAGTGCCGAAGATTTGTGCCAAGGTTCAGTGAGAAGGATTTGCGGCATAAGCGAACCAGTTTCCTCCATGCAAAAAGTGGTTCCCGCTCACCGTAGTCCACCTTCCCAGACCTCTCTCTCCGTCAGCGACGTGTCATCAGACGTGTCGTGGGTCTCAACTTAGTTGGAGGAAGCATCGTGATCATGGCGATTCTGGACGTCTCTGCTCTTCCTTTCACCGAAGTGGAGCCCTCGTCGTTCTCAGACCGCGGACGACTAGTGTGCCGCATGGCCCTCTCCAGCTACGCTAGTGCCGTGCCGTGTCCATTAATGCACATTCATAATCACTGCAAATGACAAGGCATAGGGAGAGCATGGCTTGGTACGCACCCAGGGCAGATTTCCCACCAACTGTAGCGGGCTCAGAATGGCATCATTGTTGGAACAAGGCCTCCCGGCTGTGCTCCCAATAAAAATGCCACTCTCCAATGCGCCACGTCGCACGCCCGATCGTTTGCAGATATTGCGACTACACTGTGCCATCACCAAGGTGCGTGCTGGATTCTCACTATGAGGAGCTTCCACGATTTCTGTTGGAAATAGAATGCTTGGCGTTTTTCAAGGAAATCGGCCATCACCAGAGTTTGGCTTAATCCGACAGTCAATTCTCAATATTCACTTCTCTCACGAACGCATACTCTACGCGGTGGTATCCAAAGCGCACTGATACCTAGCGCTAAAGGGTCTCTGAAAGTGTACCTTTTGAGATGTTTCTTTTGAAAAAGCCTGTTCCGACAGGAATTTTATCCAAGACTGATCACGGGAATCAGAAACTTGTAGGCCACTCACATATGTCGGTTTTTAGCATTTCTCCCAATTTCATCATATCGCTTTGCTTCTGGAAATGAATTCGACCGTACGTAACTTAGCTTATCACCAGCCTTGATAAGATTTCATTGCACAGGTTAAAACCGGGTGAAGCTTGGTTCCATTCTTCTGACTGTAAGCAACGCCCCTGGGAGTTATTGCTAAAGTGCACCATACACCCTTGTGTACCCCTGATTCCTCGGGTATGCGCCAAGCCATTGACTTCCCCCCCCCATAGAGGATGTAAAGTCTTGTTCGCTGCGGAGCAAGGAGTGGTGGTGGCTAAGTTTGGCGCGGAGCCAGCCCATTTTTCACCAGTGGGTTCTCACTTGCTCGCTTCAACAAGAAGTGGAGACCGGGTTAGCGCCGCGCCAAACCCAGCCTTGACACTTCCTGGTATCCGCAGCGATCAAGACTTTAATTGAAAACACTCTGGATTCGGTGATGGAAGGTGATAAGAAACAATTGGGAGCTACCGAGTAAGGACTTTTGCCTAAGCGTAGGACGGGGATGATCCCAGGAAAACGGTGGGTGGGCTACCAGAACCCCATCGTTTTCCCCACGACCGTTTCTTCAAACTCCTCCCCTTCCCTCTCCCCCCCCCGTTCCCTAGCGGAGTCTTCTTGTTTCCGAATACCGTGCTCTCACAGGAACAAAGTCGTACCATTTCACTTTTCAGCTGCTTGCAATACAGAATTGCCCAACAGCGGTCACAAAATCCTCCTTCCGGTATAACGCCAAACTTGCCCTTAATTCCATATAAAATTTGCCAAATATGCTCGAAATGAAGAAAAAACTCTT